GTGATATACTTAATACTTTTGTAGTTTTGTTTTGTTATCATCAAAATATTATATTCTAACTTATGATTTATATTTTTTTTAGGTTCAAGCATTGTGGTCAAGTCTATAATGTGTAGTTGTGTACAGATGCAATTTGGAGTTGGGCAGAATTTGGCAAACTTTGGAGTTGTGTACAGTGCACTGGCGTTTTTGTTCACTGTACAGTGCACTGGTGTTTTTGCTGACTGTTGATTGTTGCTGCAACAGTGTTGCTGTTGCATCTGTTAAGTTCTTTACCAAACGTTGTTTCAATTAGAAATATGTATTGTTTCAATTTCAAACGTTGAACAGTGTTTGTACTTTGTAATTGTTAATTTGTTAGGCGTTATTAGAGCTTGAAAGACTGTTTGAAATTGTTAATTTGTTAGGCGTTATTAGAGCTTGAAAGACTGAATGTGCACTGCCCCACTGTTATTAGTTTATTACTTTAACAGTGAATGTACTTTGTAATTGTTAATTTGTGAATGTGCACTGCTCCACTGTTCAACGTTTATTACTTTACAAGTGAAACTTTGTGAATGTGCACTGCACTGTTAGGCGTTAGCACTGCACTGTTAGGCATTAGCATTGATTATTTAGCGATTATTAAACCGAAACCGTACCGAAACCGTACCGAACCAAAATAAGAAAAACTGAACCGTACCGAAATATTTTGGTATGGTATTTGGTATATACAATTGATAAACCGAATACCGAAATACCGAACCGAAATTATTAAATACCGAACCGAAGTACCGAATGCCCACCCCTAGTTTTTAGTTAATGATTCTAGGTATCCTTTTTAAATAACCTTCTAGCATGCTCAAACCAATCCTACATTCATATTTTCTGTCCAAACGGGCTATTAATGTTCAAAGGAAATTGAATCGGGAGATCCCCTTTCCTACATTCAATTTCACAGACTTTGACGAGAATTTTGAGAATGAATCTTTAATTAGCATTGCCACTCACCTAGACATTTATTTCTGCGTCTAGTTTGGACACACTCGTCACTCTCTTATTAGCCCCTTTGCATGTGTTATGTTCAATAGTATGGCGAGTCCATTACTCAAATGGTCACTCAACTATCACAAATTATTTCTTAAAGTCACTTTACTTTCGTTTGTAACAACAAAGCACTGAACTATGTCTATTGCACTCAGAAGGTCACTCAACTAGATTTTCTAAATTTTGCATTGCCAAATACCTATTTTACCCTCTAAATATAAACATTTATCTTCTTTTTATTTTTTAAACTTTTTAATATTATGATTTTTCCTTTATAATTTACATTATGGACTTACCTATAGAATAAATAAATATTATTTATAAGTTAAAAAAATAAAAAAGTATTTAAGCATATATAATGCTGGAATAGCAAAATAATGAGCATAATAAAAAAATATTAATTAGAATAATTTACTAGTAATAATAATTTTAGTATTAACAATAAAAATTCAAATATTATTTACACAATTCAGAATAAAAAAACAAAGGTTGTAAAATATATATTCCATGCACGTAATATAAAAATAATTATTTAAATAAAGGTATTTTTATAATATACATTATATATTCTTGAAAATTA